ATGTTTCTTGTCATATTGTCTGGAAAAAGTGAACATGAAAAAGAACATATTTTCTTTAGTTGTCCCAGCTTATGCAAGCAAAAATACGAGCACACTTTGTTGAACGAAAAGAATCCTAATTATTATTCACAAAACAGAGCTCCTCGAAGAGTGTGAAATGAGCAGGGCACATCAGGCCGGGAGCTTTATTATGCAGATGACCTTCCGTGATACGCCTTCGTCTACACAGCAAAACACTCGAGAATATGCCAGTACAAACTGCTTTGTTAGGCGCCAATTCGTGGAATGTAGGCAGGAAGTGCGTGTTAGATATGCAACCTGCACTTCCGCAAAAGGGATTGCGAACTTGTGCTGCTCCTTTTATGATCTGTATTTAGAATTTCTTTTGCGCAGAACTTAGCCTGAAAAGTAGTCTTTCAATAAGTACAAGTTTGGTTCTAAAAACCTGCTGCAAAATTTCTCTGAAAATGCAAGATTGCTTGTGGCAATACAGAATAATGAATACAACAAAAATTATCACAAAGTTTTGAAACTTTCATATTCCTAGTCTTACACTGAAGTGTGCCTCATAATCCCATCATTGTTTTGGTACTTATAATGCTCAAGCTATTCTTATTACCATATTTCATTTTTGCGCTCAATTCTCTCTGTACTTTACCTGTTTAACATACGTGTTAGCATGTGCTAACTATAAGACAATGCATTTTACTGTACGCATAACGCAGCCTGATTTTACGCAAAAAAAATAAATACCAATTTCTAAAGTGTGCACGCACTCGCTCACTGTTTTAACACGAATGTGTTTTTTCTGGGTTCCCCCAAGACATTTGTAACGCATTTGAGTCACGGAAAGGACGCTAAAGAAAATACGCACAATCGGAAAGCAAAGAAAAAGGTTCTGTCGACCGGATTGGAACCTATGACCTTTCAGTCTGAGAGAAGAGGCCGCGCAGGCTAACCACTGCGGCACGACCACATAATGTGGGAGATTTACAAACACGTTTTTTTTTATTAAACACTGTGCTTCCACAGGGCTTTTGGTAAAGTGAAATAATACATAATGAACTTGAAATCACAATTAGTTCAACAAATCATTATTACGCGTTCGTGCCGTTCAGAATATTTACAGTAGTAGCAATGCAATGATTTCAAAATTATATAACACTACTGCAGGTGGCAATATTAGCCTTTATGTTGGCTTTGTTCACAGTATATACCCGTACCAACAATAGCTCTGTATCTTCTAGCTTTAACTCCGCGTTTTCCACTGAAGATCACCCAGGGAATAATCGCGGCCAGCCAACAGTGTATATACAACGTGCGCTGTGTTTCTTTCCAGTAGGGCCGTGGCATTGAATACTGTAGCATGCCGCGTATAGACGCAAACTTCCTTGTAGGCAACCGCTGCCGAAATTCGGCGTCCATTAAATGACGGCTCTCTTGGTTGTCGCACCGCGTTCTCTCATTTCGCTGCTTGCGTGTCTCATAGTGCCACTGTTCTTATTGATTATGCCACGCTGCCATCATGACTGCGAGCGTGCGCAGCTCCCGACGATGCTTCCGGTGGTTGGTTTAGGCTGAACCCATCATTCGCGGCCACGCTGCGGTGAGGTATCGACATCGGCCTCTTTGTGTTTCATGGCGTGTGAAATTTGATCTTTCACTGCGGTGGGTCTATTCCATTATTCATCATCTGAGCAAAACTTGCCAATGATGTATTTGCATGGCGAACCTGATTGCATCACCATTGCAGCAGATCCAGTTGCCTGTCCTACCGCAGTTCTACAATCAGGCAAGTGACAGTGCATTCGGAGTCGTCTAACGTAGCAGTGTGTCCAGTTGGCCGCGGTGCTCGCGTCTGTGTGCCCTCCCATGCGTAGGTGACGACGTGGCGACGAGTTTCTAAGCTGATTTTCAATACACCATATGCTCCTGCGGTAGCATTGGCGTTCTTCGAGGTGGCCCTCATGGACTATATATTCATATGGCTACATATATATATATATATATATATATATATATATATATATATTGAAATAACTTGAAGATAGCACATAAGAAAAGGATCGTATTTCACTTCACTTCACTTCACTTTTATTTCCTTAAAGACCCCCTGTAGGGGTATTACATAAGGGGTGGTGCATAACAAAAAAAAGAGAACTATACAACGGTGTTTTTAATGGCTTCTGCAAACATAGATGGGTTAGTGATGGCACAGATGGCGTGAGGAAGGCCATTCCAGTCTTTTGCTGCTCTTACGAAAAAGGAGGCTTGGAATACAGTGGTCCGGGTACGTGGTAATGCGACTTGTAACGGATGACCAGTGCGATGGGATATGTGCGGAGGGGGCGTGATGTACGGTGGATGATTCAGTGAACTGAAATAAAACATATGAAAAAGAGAGAGGGTGGCACACCGTCGGCGTGAAGCAAGGGTTTCTAGACCTGATTCCGCCTTTAGAGATGAGATGCTGATATCGTACGAATATGCAGAATGAATGAACCTGGTAGCCCGATTTTGAAGTGATTCGAGTTCACTTATGATGTATGATTGATGAGGGCTCCAGATGGAAGATGCATACTCGAGTTTGGACCTGATAAATGATTTGTATGCAAGCGTCTTGACGTGAGGCGGAGTATGGCGTAAGTGTCGTCTGAGAAACCCGAGTGATTTATTAGCAGACGAGATGATGTTAGTAGTGTGATGACGCCAAGACAGGTCATGAGTCAAGGTGATGCCGAGGTATTTGAATGATTGAACTGATTGTATGGGAACATTAGTGATGGAATAGGTAAACTCAAAAGGGTTACGGTGGCGAGAAAAAGAAACAAGCTTACATTTATTAGGATTTAAGTTCATTAACCAACGATCACACCATGTTTGTATGTTGTTAAGATCATGCTGAATTAGTGTTTGGTCATGAATGTTGGTTACTGATCGGTAGATTACTCAGTCATCGGCAAACATACGAAAGTTACATGATACATGCAAAGGTAGGTCGTTAATGTAAATTAAAAAGAGTAGAGGCCCTAAGACAGACCCTTGCGGGACACCTGAGGTTACAGGTAGTCGGTTAGATGAGTAATTATTAACAAACACAAATTGGGAACGATTAGTCAGGAAAGATGTTATCCATGCAAGTACATTAGGATCTAGATTTAACAGAGATAATTTAAGAATTAGGCGTTTGTGAGGGACAGTGTCAAATGCTTTGGCGAAATCCAGGAAAAGAGCATCGGTCTGAATGTTGCAGTCAAGGTTAGAATGTAAGTCGTGAATGAAAATGGCCAGCTGCGTTTCACAAGAATAACCCCTTCGGAACCCGGGTTGAGAAGGATGAAAAAAGTGCATTGAGTCCAAGAAGTTGATGATATGGGAGTAGATGACATGTTCCATGATTTTGCAGGGGATACTTGTTAAGGATATGGGGCGGTAATTTAGTGGAGAATCTCTGTTACCTGATTTGTAGACTGGAACGACCTTGCCTACTTTCCAGTCTGCTGGCAGAATGCTTGATGATAATGACTGCGAAAATAACAATGTAAGGTATGCGGCACACACATGTTTAACATTTATGAGAAGTTTTGAATTAATGTCATCCACACCTGCAGAAGAAGAAAGCTTAATCTTTTCTATAATCGAAATGATGCCGTCCGTAGAAAATGCAATCGGGGGCATAGACTCGGTGCTGCGCGCAGGTGAAGAAAAATCGGGAACTGAACTCTCATTCGTAAAAACAGAGAAAAAGGCCTCGTTAAAAAGGTTCGCGCATTCATTGTTGTCGACTATATCGCCATGCGCATTTGAAAGACTAGTGGTGCGCATCTCCTGAGGGTTTATCACCTCCCAGAATTTGCGAGGGCTGGTTGCAAGCATTTTGGGCAGCTCTTCATGAAAGAACACGTGCTTGGCGTTTCGAATGGTTCTAAGATAATCATCTTCCGCGGCGTAATATTTTTCCCATAAGGACAGAAGTTTAGACTGTTTGGCTGATCGGAAGAGGCGTTTTTTCTTGTTTCTTAGTTTGTGAAGTGTACGTGAAAACCATGGCTTGTTTCGGTTTGCGGTAAACGTTATTTTTGGGATAAATTTCTCGACAAGAGTGGCTAACTTGTCTCTAAATATAATCCAATTCTCATCCACAGAGCGTGTATGGCTTATTCTCTCGAAATCAGGAAGAAAAGATATCAATTCATTATTGATGGCACTATAATTGCCCTTGTCGTAAAGACGGATTGTTTTGGTGACAAGATCGCGTTTTACAGGTCGAAACGCAAAGGCCGCATGGATTACCTTGTGGTCACTGACGGCACGCAGATATGTAATTGATGATAAGCTCTCTTGATGACTAGTTAGTATTAGATCTAAGATGCTGGAATTGCTCTCTGTAACGCGCGTTGGTTGGGATACAAGTTGGGTTAGATTGCAATTCAGGCAGAAATCTATGAAGTCTCTTGCGGGCTCACAGCCCACAGCTGACGGGACGCTACTACTCCAATCTATTTGAGGGAAATTAAAATCGCCGAAAAGCAGTATCTCTGCTTGCGGATACTGTTTCCCAAGGTCACTCAGGTTGTTGTTGAGCTTATATGCGAAATCTGGGTCACTGTTCGGGGGCCTATAACAAACGCCTACAAGGACAGTATGAGGGCGAGCACGGCAAACGACCCAAAGAATTTCAAGTTCAGGAGAGTTGGTCCTGGCCACCGAGCACGATAACTGTTGGTGCACAGCCATCAGAACCCCGCCTCCACGTGCGCCTGTACGGTCCTTACGATAAAGTTGAAATCCAGGTAGGTGATCTAGCACTTCTGCATCGGTTATATCATTTGTCAGCCAAGTCTCGGTTATCACCAATACGTTACTGCTTGATGACAAAACAAGCTCAGAAAAGTTATGCGTTTCGGAAAAAAACTGCGCGCGTTAGCAAAGACTACCGAAAGTGACAGGCCAGATTGAGGTGTAGGGGTGTGCCCGGCAGATTTGCGCCGAGGAAATTGCTACGACGCTTCCCTTACAGTTTGCGATTGCTCATCGTAGACGTAGCGCTTGTGACCCATTAGCAGTGTCTTGTACGTGATGGAAAAAGGCAGCGACTTGGTTTTAGCAAAGGCAATCAATTGCCGACGGACGTTTTGCACACGACGTGAAAAATCTTCACCAACACTAAAAGTGGTTCCTTTAAATTTCCGTCCATTAGAAAGAATCTCTCCTTTTGTTTTATGGAATGCGAATTTAACTATTATGGGGCGATGGTGGTTAGTACCCTTGCGGCGACCCAGACGATGCGCGCGCTCAATTTCCTTCGGATCGATGGAAATACCTAGACGATCACGGCAGTGCTTGATGACAAGTTGTTCAACTTGGACAAGTGCTTCCGATCCAGTTGATTCAGGAAGGCCATAAAATATGAGGTTATTGCGCCGAGAATGATTCTCGGCTTCATCCACGCGCGCTTCAAGCCTGCGCAGAAGGTCACTCGCGCGAGCGGTGTCTCTTCTGAGCGCTTCCACATCAGTACGCAAGGAAATAATATTTTGACAGTGCCCTTCCAGATCAGTCATGCGTCTACTGAGATCTGCTATAGATTTATCTGTTGATAGCAAATGGGACTTAAGGTCCTGTACCTGACTGATTAATTCCGTCTGACCGGCAGACAATTTCTGCAGTTCAGTTAGTACAGCATTAGAAGCAGGACCCGGATTGCTTTCAATATCGCCCGACATCATCAACAAGGCACGAATAACACGAGAACACTCAAGTGCAACAAGAACGCAGCAGTGTGGGCTCGGCAGCTGAAACAGCAGGTAATTACTAGACTTCTTAGCGAGAAGACTGTAAGTTTTACTAACCTGCATGACAAGAGTGAAAGGATTAGCGGTCTGCGTTGGTGCACAGCCGCCGAGCCCACACAGCGCCGCCGGCAAAGGCCGCTCTTTTGTAGTCGACACAGGCATCGATGCCGATGCTGATAGCGTCGACCAGGTTTTGTCGAGGACCATGTAGCTGACCGGTGGCGCCGGAAGGGATCCAGATCTGTTGCGTGAGGTGAAATCCAGTGGTTCCAAGTACGTTGCGGTTGATAAGCTTGTGTCGAAGACCAAGAGAGCGTGACAGGTAAGCGTGCCACTTTCGCTGGAACGATGCTGATACTGCAACGGTGTGGTCAAGGAAGCTGGCAGGAAAACGGAAAGCAGTATGCGCAGGAATGCGCACTGAAACACCTGCATGACAAGAGTGAAAGGATTAGCGGTCTGCGTTGGTGCACAGCCGCCGAGCCCACCCTAACGTTTCGGCCGTGGCACGGTCTTCGTCACACTAACGTTTCGTGGCACACTAACGTTTCGGCCGTGGCACGGCCTTCGTCAGTTTACTTCGTTTCGGCCGTGGCACGGCCCTCTGACGAAGGCCGTGCCACGGCCGAAACGTTAGTAAATACGATCCTTTTCTTATGTGCTATCTTCAAGTTATTTCAATATAGAAAATACCCGGACCTGTCGTGCCTTCCCTTCAAGCTCCTATATATATATATATATATATATATATATATATATATATATATATATATATATATATATATATATATATATATATATATATATATATATATTGTATGTAATGTCCGGATACTGCACCAGGGTGGCCGATCCTGTTCTGGTTAGGAAATGCGTTACCCGTGGAGGTCACCCGTGCGGCCTCACACCGGGCCACTTTATTCTTTTGCATTATCACGCATATTTTTTCTTTCCGGTGAGGAATTCAGCGCCACCGGGATTCAAGCCATGGAAATTTTGCACGCGAGGCTGACGCTCTAATCACTACGCCATCACTGTACCTTAGTTGTACACCTAAGGGGCCAGGGTCAGGGAACAAGCCGGGGTGAAGGAAATTATAGTCGAAATATACAAGAAGTGGTCCTTGGCAGGGCACGTAGCGCGAAGGCGAGATGACTGCTAGTGATTAGGAATGACAGAACGGATTCTGAGAGAAGGCAAGTGGGTAAGAGAAGACAAAGTAAGCTGATCAGACGAGATTACTAAGTTTGCAGGTGTACAGTGGCAGTACCAACCACAAGACTGAGTTCAATGGTGGAACAGGGGAGAGGCATGCGCCCTGCATTGGGTGTAACCGTAATATATATATATATATATATATATATATATATATATATATATATATATATATATATATATATAAATATATATATGTGTGTGTGTGTGTGTGTGTGAGATTAAGTGTAAAGCTGCAGCTGCCCACGTGTTTGTACTATAATTTGTATGTATATCCCTGCTTTGTTTTTTATCTTTCTTCAGCACATCAATGTTGCACGCATTCTACTGCTGGGGACAGTACTCGTACATGATGAAAGCGTGGCACAAAAGGCTTCTTCCGATTCGGACATCTTTCTGCCTAACATGCATTGAACACGCTCCTGCTTTCATGTACAAATAGGTCTTCTATCGGCCATTGTATATGCATTGCTGCGGGTCTGGTGAAATGTGTGTTTGCCAGTTTTCTTTTCTACACAATGAACTTTCCATCTCTCATTCACCAATGCATATCAGCATATGAGATTAGTGTTCCTGCGTAACGACCCTGCGTTTTCTGTCTTCTCTTTCACAATATACTATGCGTGCAGCTGGAGGTTCTCAGACGATGGTATCAGACACGCAATCATCGCATCACTCGCATCGCCGCTCAAAGTCTACGCCACTTTTGAAGTCATGTCGCGAGCATCTTTGCTATCTCTTCCGCACCTGTCTTGCTCCCAAGGATTAGTTATCTTTTCGCACCCTTCTAAGCCATTCATCTCTCATTCAGGGCTCACTGGAAGTCCAGCAATGGCTATCTGCTGCCTCATTCATCCTCTACTTATGGCCAGAAAGCGACCAACGTGAAAATGACAGGCAGGAAAAATGAAGAGATAAGCGCTGTTCCGTTGCATAGAAAAGGACGTCGTTATCTCTCCTCTATCGTTTTCCCGGAAAAAATTGCCGCACCTCTGACCCCGCGCGTTTACGAATATTTTTCCCGCCATATACTTTTCCAAAAAACTAGAAGTTAGAAGAGACATTCAGGAGACCTTAACATTTTCATACAATCGACTCATTAACCTTGTTAGACCTCTCGGCGAGCTGATGACTGTCTTGACATCACCTGTATGGCTGAAGTGTGCACCCTGAAGCCGGTAGGCGTAAAGTAGGAGGATAGAGAAAAAATGAGAATATGTGAGTGATATATGAGTAGCCACCCCTTAGTGGTATAGGTTTCATACCGTTAGTTTGATGTCACGCCACATTGCTTTTGAAATTCCAGCACGCATTAAAGCAAAGGTAGGAGTTTAAGAATGTTGATCACATTTATAAACGAATAGTGTTTGCTCTTGGTTTCATTTTTATTAAAAAAAGCGCTTAAAATCATTTATAGATTTTTGTTGTTCTCTCTCACTTTTTCAAATCTATATTCCACAAACCCGGTACAAGATAGCTTACCAGATGTTACCTTCTGGTTGACCTCCCTGGGTTCCTCTTCAATTTCTTGCGCACTCCCCATTCATTCACTGTGGGTGATTGCACAATTATTTGCGTTACAGTTAAACATATAACAAATACTCCAATTCTTCAAGCCATCAACTAATGTTGCTGCAAGTCAAACGCAATCTATTTTAAGCTTCCGTGATAATGCTGCTTTTCAGCGTAATTCTATTTCAGGATGCAAGTTTCGATTTGTTATGAATGTTTGTTTGCGACGAGCACTGATATATTTTGTGTACATGCTTAATACTGCAAAAATCTGCATGATTTGAGGAAAACCATTTCATGAGGATGTGGTAAAGTGAGTACAAAAAATACAAACACACAGGATGCTCTACGGGAAGTGCCCAAATTGCTGATACACAATGCCTTAAAACATCAGCGCGTATTCAAGAAACATCGCTGCGTTGCACTTCCTGTGGTGACGAAAAGGAGCAGCCATCCAACCACGTTTTCACGAATACTAAATTATCGTTTTGCGAAGAACGTCGTCAAACTAAAAGCGGGAAGGCCATTTTAGAGGGTATATGGTATATTTGGAAAGTTCACCAGCTAAATAAAAATAATAAGCAATGACTCTCCTTGAACCTTATGAAGTGGCTTTTTGTTTCGAAGACTATAAGTGGTATAAAAAGAAGTTCGCAATTAGTGTTTTATGATTTAGCAAAGAATAGGAAGGCTGGCATATTCATGGTTTCCTAGTCTGGTCTTGAAAGTATGCTGACTAGCGGAGAAACTTGGTTAAGATTGAAGCACACACGTTGCAAGGAGGCATTCTTGATGAACGAAACCAAGGCCTCCGATCTCGCGAGCATCCTCGAGCGTTCGTTTTGAAGGGCCTCCCTTGTGGAAAGCTCAGTGCAAAAAAAAATGGCACAGTATTGCGATCTAATGTCGGTGTGTACATTTGCAACGCTTGTTCGTGTTGCGTTTCACGTTTGCGATGCGAGATTGGTTGGTTCTCCCTCGGCGTCAGATTCGGCGATGGCCGCAGTGTTTCTGAGCTCCAATCTACGGCAGGCGTAATTGCGTGTAATGAATCTGGTGGCGAGCATTCTGAACATCAAGCCTGGTGGATTCTTTATATTGAAAAACGAATTATTTCAAGAGTTACCCGTGGCAACCGCTATTCGTCTAAACTTTCAAAAATTGTGGTAGAGAAACATTCCCTTCAATTTGTCAATATTAAGCGATGAGAAGTATTAGACGTAGGTAGATTTATTAAACAGGACTGTTGATCTTGAGAGTACTGTGTTTTAATTACAGATAAGGAAACATTATTTTACAAATACTGGTTTAATGTTATCATTAGTACTACATGTATGGACGGAAGCTTTTTAATTTTTCCGAGCTTGAGTATATCTGTATCCTGTGAGCTTTCCCTCTTTTCAAAAAACGTGCAGATACATCTTATGTACTGAAGAGATATTTTTGAGAATCTTTCACTCCCCCAAAGGCAGGGAGTCAATAAAATGTTAATAAAACAGAGTTTTTCATTTTTGTCTATATTGTGCCCCAGCGTAGTTTCCAATCTCTTTTTGTCTATCTTGGTTGAGAAAACGTCCCAAGAATCCAACATTTATAGAGCAGTGAATCCGGCTTCATTGCATTGAAGGTCACACGAGATGTACCATGTCGTAAGTCCTTTGAATGAAGTAGGAACAAAAAGTAAGCGAACAGAAACGCCTTTGTTCCGCGATCAGTGGGAGTGCGATACAGATTTCTCAGAGCCGAGTGAATCTGGTAGCGGAAAACGAAGACTGGACCCACCGAAAGCCGATAAGATGAATTGTGAGTGTGAGAAATTGAAGAAAAAAATAGAGTAAGAGAAAGAGTGGGCAGACGTAAAGTATGAAGAAGAAATTGCGGCCTTTCTGAAGTTCTTGCACTGAAAGGGATTTCGGCACCTTGGAATAGGCAAAAAAAAACGGGCGTGCGGCCTAAACAAAAAGCGAAATGGTCTGTTCAAATCAAGCAGAGCATCGTCGACGATGCTTCTGCTCAGATGAGTATATAAAAATGCAACTCTTATTTGAGAGGAATTGAAGGAATGCGTGGCTTCTTTTGGTCCCTTGTATTTTCCTGAGGAAGGTAATCAGGTGAAATGAAGAGCTGAGCAATAATTGGGTTTTAAAGCAAATCATTACCTGCCAATGTACAACACACAACACCGGCAAAGCTGGCACTGTGAGTTACACTCGTGTCGTAACTTCTGTAAAAACCAAACATTTTCCCGAGTACTTGAAAGAGGAAACAAAAAAGCACTAATAATTTTTTTACGATCACAAAGAACTAAAAAAATGAAGAAATCACCTATTTATCACTGCAGTGTACCAAACATGCATGTCATTGCACTGAAGCCTTTAGAATCCCAATAC